GGGGACGGGACAGGGGCGGCACGGGGATGGGTGCGTGGGGACAGGGGTGTCCCCATGCCCAGGCGTGGGGGGACATGGTGACATGCAGGGATGGGGACATCCATGGGACACGTGGGGACAGGGATGAGGCCATGTCTGGACACGTGGGGACAGGGATGTCACCGTGCCGGGATAAATGGGGACAGGGATGTCACCGTGCCAAAGGGACCATGCAGGGACGCACAGGGACAAGGACAGGACCACAGAGGGGGACATGGACCCATGGTGTCCCTACGGTCCCCGAGTACATCCCCGGGTGTGGGGAGGGAGCGGGAGGATGACACCCACCCCAGGGTGTGCCTGGCGTGTCCTGGCGTGTCCTGGCGTGTCCCATCTGCCAGCCCCGGCGTGAATCACCGGGTGCCTGACGTCAAGGCCTCGGGGGAAGGAAGGAACCCCCCCCCCCGGGCAGCAGGACCGGGGCGGGCAGCGGGACCCCCCCCAACACAGCCCCCCCGCATGGCACCCGCCTGGGGCAGGGAACCCCAGACTGGGCAGGGACCCCCTAAACTGGGAAAGGACCCCTCCAGACTGGGCAAAGATCCTCCAAACTGGACAGGGACCTCCCAAACTGGGCATAGACCCTCCCACAAACTGGGAAAGGAACCCCCAGACTGGACAGATAACCCCCCAAACTGCGCATAGAACCCCTCCCAGATGTGTAATATGCCCCCAAACTGGGAAAGGACCCCCTTAAACTGGGCAGGGACACCCCCCCTCCCCCTTGACTGGGAGAGGACGCCCCAAACTGGGAAAGGATCCCCCCCAAACTGGGGACGGTGCCCCCCCGCCGTCCCTCGATGCTGGCTCCCACCGGCGGGACTGGAGGCGTCGGGGGCGTGGCTTGGGAGGGCGTGGTCATTTTATAGGCATGGCTCAGGGCCCGCCCACCTTTACAGCTGATTGACAGGCGGGTGGGCCAATGGGGAGACATCCCCGCAGGCTGCGTGTCCTCAAGGATCTCTGACCCGTGGGTTCCATGGCCCCATGGATCTCCAACCCAGGGACACCATGGCCCCCTGAAGCTCCCTGACCCCCATGCTCCGTGTCCCTGAAGTTCTCCCATCCCCATCTCCCCAAGGATCCCTGACCCAGGGGGTCCATGTCCTCATGAAGCCTGGTGCCCACACCTCAGGGACCTCTCACCCATGAGCTTCACCCCTCCAAACCCTCCCTGTGGCACAGGCTCCAGCATCTCCACAGCCTTGGCGCTCCCTGTCCCCCCTCGTCCCCAGGGAGCCCCATGAGCCTTGGCCCACATCCCCAAGGACCTCACAGTCCAGGGAAGCTCCTCAACCCACAGCCCCCACATCAAGATCTCCAACCCTTCTCCTTCACAAGACCCCCTTGGTGGCCATAGGTCCCCATCTGGTGCCACCCTTCCCGTGAGAAAGAAGAGACAGGGTGGCTGATCTGAAGCTGCTTTATTTGCCACGTTGGGATGGGTCGAGCGCGGACGCAGAGGGGGCGAGTCGGCCCCAGAACAGTCACAAATACAGCACAGGCAATAATAATA